TAGCGAGAAATCATCGTAAATAGTAACAAACATCTTATAAATTGAAATTCCACAAGTTCTGTAATGCACAGCAAGCTGTGGACATCGCCGTATAATTGGAATTCGTTTATCAGATGAACCATTACGAGTTGTAGTATCTGTGATAATCGAGCATCTGCTCGCGAATGTAATCTTGATTTTCTTGTAGATGTGTGTCACGTACTCTATCAAAAATAGTGTATACTTCGTCAAATTCGTGATATCAGTCCTTAAAAAATGATAAATTAAAGTATTCTTTAACCATTTAAGTGTGTTTGACGACTATATCCGTCATGGAGATGTGGCAGAATTTTGTGTCATGACGACTATATCCATCACGCGTAAAATTTTGTTACAATTTGATATTTAAATTGCAATTTTGGCGAAAATTAAATTATATTCGTAAATTGTAATATGTTTAAAATGTTTAGAGGTCAACACGAAATGAAATAAATAAATAAAATGTGTAAATGATTTGAGATGGATTCATAAATTCTCGACAGCTAACTCGTCATCGCTTGATTATCACGACGCGCTGATTCGTGCTTTGCAAAAAGATCGCCACAGGTAATTGGTTAAATACCAATTCGTAGTATATAAATACAGTATGTACAAAAACTTGACGTATTATAAATATTCAGTTTGCATAAAAACTAATTTTCAGGTGTTCTATGTATATACTAACATCAAGAAAAACTATTTATCGTATTTTATGCATAAAGTCTCGAAAATCAGTAATTTGTCGTGTTCTCACCGTCATAAAAAAAAAACGAAAATTCAATTTAGCACATTAGCAATCAAATTTTGTAGTATGTTTTCCCTATATTGTTTTGTGTGTTAACTATTGCAAGTTTTAATTTATCTATATTTATTCGAATATGTACGATTATTTGAAAACATCATTCGTACCAATATTTCTCATAAATTTTCTATGAGATTAATGCCAAGGAAACGTGCAGGTCATTCTAATAACAGAATGTTATTTTCAGCAAGCCATCTTAATGTACCTACAGATTTATGAACCGATACCTTATTCTGCTTGAAAATTAAATTTTCGATGTAGTGTTCTGTCCTAGAGACTTCAAATAATTTTTTAATGTCTCAATAGAGTTACTGCTGTTGGTACATTCATGAAACGGCCGAAATCACGTTTTATGTGACTCAGCTCGATATTTATGTTAATATGTCATTTTTCTTTTACAGAACTTATTCTTTACACATTACGAATTAGTATTTAAGGAATATTGTCCATAATTTCTTACCAAAAGCTCATATCATTAAGAATATGAGGGGTTGCTATTTTTATGCAACGCACTATATCGAAAAAAGATTAACATTGTATGTTTAAAAGTTTCATTTAACTTTTCTAAGGATGATTATTCTAACACAAGATTTACGTCAAAACGATGAATTTTAACTCACAATATTATAAGACGAGTGGTTAATAATATAATTATAACGATATTAATAAATGATGTATTAATTTGATGGATTCATAAATTCTCGACAGCTAACTCGTCATCGCTTGATTATCACGACGCGCTGATTCGTGCTTTGCAAAAAGATCGCCACAGGTAATTGGTTAAATACCAATTCGTAGTATATAAATACAGTATGTACAAAAACTTGACGTATTATAAATATTCAGTTTGCATAAAAACTAATTTTCAGGTGTTCTATGTATATACTAACATCAAGAAAAACTATTTATCGTATTTTATGCATAAAGTCTCGAAAATCAGTAATTTGTCGTGTTCTCACCGTCATAAAAAAAAAACGAAAATTCAATTTAGCACATTAGCAATCAAATTTTGTAGTATGTTTTCCCTATATTGTTTTGTGTGTTAACTATTGCAAGTTTTAATTTATCTATATTTATTCGAATATGTACGATTATTTGAAAACATCATTCGTACCAATATTTCTCATAAATTTTCTATGAGATTAATGCCAAGGAAACGTGCAGGTCATTCTAATAACAGAATGTTATTTTCAGCAAGCCATCTTAATGTACCTACAGATTTATGAACCGATACCTTATTCTGCTTGAAAATTAAATTTTCGATGTAGTGTTCTGTCCTAGAGACTTCAAATAATTTTTTAATGTCTCAATAGAGTTACTGCTGTTGGTACATTCATGAAACGGCCGAAATCACGTTTTATGTGACTCAGCTCGATATTTATGTTAATATGTCATTTTTCTTTTACAGAACTTATTCTTTACACATTACGAATTAGTATTTAAGGAATATTGTCCATAATTTCTTACCAAAAGCTCATATCATTAAGAATATGAGGGGTTGCTATTTTTATGCAACGCACTATATCGAAAAAAGATTAACATTGTATGTTTAAAAGTTTCATTTAACTTTTCTAAGGATGATTATTCTAACACAAGATTTACGTCAAAACGATGAATTTTAACTCACAATATTATAAGACGAGTGGTTAATAATATAATTATAACGATATTAATAAATGATGTATTAATTTATAACATTAGTTGTTGAGATGTTGAAAGAATTTTAATCGTCATCCCTAGATTCTCTCAAATTAAAAAGAAGTCATTTCTTTACATCGCACTGTGCATTTAATAGATAACAAATTGAAAATTGACATAAATTTTTTCAGTTAATTTAAAAAATTTCATAAAGTCCATTTTAAAATATTAGTTTTTAACACAATATATTGCAGTCCAAATTGTAAGGATTACACTGTTCATTTCATAGACGAGAAATTGAAAATTAAAATAAATTTATTCTATTAACATAAAAAAACTTTATAAAATCCATTCTGAAGCGCTACTTCTTAAAACGATACTTTACTGTCCATTAAACCGAGATTTATTGAAAACTGGATATCGGTATCGGTCTCTAAATTACAAAGGTAGAACCCTAAAAGCATGAAAGAAATTCTTATTATGATGAAACGATAATGGAGAGAATTTCATCATGGTCGTTTAAGGACTTTGAAGTGTTCAAGCTTCACGCGACTCAAATAGAAATTCAATTTTCTCAATCAGTGAACGTAATGGAATTGAGATCAATGATAATAATTATCGTTAACAACTACCACAGTAAATGAAAATTTATATTCATGGAAACACGCCTTCGCGATCAATCGATACAACTTAAATCTTCTCGAAAACTATAACCGTGTAAAGTATCAGTTTGACTTAACGCCTCCATAAATCTAATTTCATTAGTTTACTAGTTGTGAAATCGGTGAACTGTGGATTGTTTTACGAGTCGTTTGTGTTGATCAAACATTTCTTCTTTAACACTTTTGCTTCGAAGTTAATTGCTTAAAAAATGTTGCTTTCATTCAATCATTTTTTAATTTGTTATAGAATCTTTGCTTTGTTTATTTTTAAGTGCAACTGAAGATATTTCAATTTAGAACGAATTCACTAGACGCTGTGAATGGCTGATTCATAACATAGGGTACTTAATTTTGCTGAAGAGAAAATTGGAAAATTAAAGTTCATTTGATACGTATCTATTTTTAGTTAATGTATTAGTACAAAATTCTATTTATGAACTTAATTACGCATTGACTTCAGATAAGGTAAAACAGTAATGCGATATTGAATATTGTTTATATATCAAAATTAATGAATTCCATGGTGTATATTACACTTCTAAGAAGTGATAATTACGGTTATTAATTAAGGTTAATAGTAACAATTAATTGATAATATTAATTCAAAAATAAATAACACAGATTAATTATTTGTAGATTAACGTTTTATAAATAGTTCTTTAAACACACTACTTTATAGAGAGTCACTTTTTATATCCAATTTTTCTTTTACAATATACAATGGTGAACTTTTGAGAAGTACTTTATGGCTACTATTATAGGATGAATTAAAATTCGTTGAAACAGAATTATTACTAGTAATTGTATGGATCAGTAAAATATCAGAAAGAAAAATGATTAAACTTCTTTTAATCCTTCTGATGTTAATGTCGAATACACTCGTTATGAAAAGATGGCCTTTTAAAAAAATAAAGAGCTAAACATTTTTCGTTTAATAACGGGTATACTTATCACAAATGAAAAAGATTTGCATTTCCTATTTAAAGTAATATTTATTCATGTAAATATTAATTTTACGCAAATATTTATAAAAAATGACTATACCCAATCAATTTTATACAACGAATACCTTAAATGATTAACAGGTAGAAAATTCTGAGGCTATGATCGCGAAATTTGGTAATTAAATTTTCTTATCCAAATATCCATATGTAAATACATACCGGTCGGAGAAAGTATTCTGATGCGAAGCTGTTATTTGATTTCAATTTCCTGCCGCAATCTCGGCGCCACTATAATGGCCGTGGTGAACCACGTGCATTAGTACATCGATAGTAGGCAGGTGTATTGCCATCCACGTGGTTTGCGATCATTCGTCTGAGCTTTCATTTTCAGTGACCGTATAAACGTTTGTGCGCAGATAATGATTACGTTATTGAAAAATTAAAATCAAAATTAAATCTGACGCAAATTAATAATAGTACAAATATCTCAACGACATCCATCATTGGTTAAATTATGAATCTACTCAGGATCTTCATTGATAGGGACGGCCAAATAATTCAAATTGTATACATATAACCACGACTGATATAATCAACTAAAAGCCATGTTTACAATTAGTATAATCTACTTGGTCAACAAGATTAGTAAGGACGAAAAACCATCCTCGAACTATTCGAAGAAAAAAACAGCCAATGAAAAATCTTAAATATAGTTCGATAAAAATCCGAAAAAGTCTCTCAATGCATAATAATATCAAACGGAAATTACTATATCACTTAAAGCATTAACATCTCATCAACACTTGGCCACTGGATGATGTTCGATACGTTTATAGAACTGGTCCTCTCAAAAAAAGGGACTAAATCGCATACTGGTAGCAAGCAGCAGTTAAAGGCATTGCCTAAGGGAAGATTATGGCATACCGTGTCCTTAAAAAAATCATCGGACATTTGCCAACGATCCTTGCCAGATACGATCGTCTCTGGCGGCCAGCGATTTAGCTGGAACCAGGAGAAAATTGTTCCTGCAGGAGAGAAGTGGTCGCGTGTTTCTTTATTGAAAACTATAACAACCAACACGGATGGGTAGGTCAAGCGGGGTAAGAAGGAGGCAAACGTTTACGGATGCAGATGAAACGAACCTTAATCGCACCACGTAACACACACAAACGCACACGGTGGGCCACTGAAAGAAAAAGAAATGGGATGCTTTGCACTTAGCATAATGTTCACGGTGCCTGTCATTACCCTGCACCGCTAACATGCCAGGACCAACACCCGTTTGGATCCGGTAGACACGCGAAAATGTGCTAACATTACCAGGCAACAAAAGTGAGCGTTACTCAAATCGGGTATGTTCCAATTACAAAAACTTTAGGCTACTTTGCACGATTTTTTGTTAATTAACCCTTTGACCAGTCCGACTCGTGACGCACTCACAGTCCAAATATAAATTTTACTCGAATTTTTTATACGTTCCTATTTAAAGTTTTAACTCAACTACAATTCCCATCCTTAAGGGTTGCTGAGTTCCAAATTGGCATAACATTTTGACTTTCCTTATTTATTTTAATATTATAGCAGTCGATGGTTGTTATTGACAAACGTATTTGACGCATGAATCACATGTCAAGTAATCAAAAAATACTTATTTGAGATTGTTATACTAAACCAAATGATGAGTGTGTCATCATTGGAGTGCAAAGGCTTAACCCCGTGTCATACTTAGACGAGTTTGACTCGTGACGCACTCATAGTTCAAATGTAATAAATCTTACTCGAATTGTTAATGCGCTTCCATTTGGAGTCCAACTAATTTGCATAGTCAAGGGTCGCTAAGTACCAAATTGACGTTACATTTCAACTTTCTTTATTTGTTTTTATATTATAGCAGTGGTACATGACACATCTAACGAATAAATCGTATAGCAAGGAGTTAAGAAATATTGCTACATAAATATCGCATTCTTAAAAACAATATCTATTATTGAACAGTTTCGCTAATTATTTACCTCCGCAATTTCTCACCAATTTCGATGTCCTATGTCGTCAAGCTTACAACTTTCCTTAATACATGTTATTGCCGCTATTTATCAGAATAATTGGTAAATGGCAGTATTTCTAATTTTAGTAACCAAAATTACATTATAAACGCAATAAACTATTATTACCTTATAGCGTTCATACAAAATAAATGTGTTTATCGCATTCCACTCTCTAATATAAAAATAATTTTTCTCATCATAGATTGATAGTAAAACTGCGCCAATATTCATATGTGGTATCCACTTGAATCCATTTGAATTCCATATAGAAATATAGATGTAAAATCGTATTTCTAACAATATTAATTTATGTCTTATCCTTTGTTTGTCTTTTCTATTTTATTTTTAATATCAAAGTATATGTATATTATACGCCGATGTTAAACAGATGAATAATTCCATTTATATGGCCGATACACGAAAGCCAGTTCCCAAAAGTAAGAGGGTGTTATGGTGGTCCGTGGTGACTCCAAATCAACCGGTAGCAAATTGTATAATGGCAGCGGCACTTTTGTTGTTTCTTTCTAACGAAAGAAGATTAAACCTAACGGCGTTTGGTATCTCATAAATCGCCGGCGCCGCACATTAACCACGGAAAGAAAACGAAACGATTTATGGGTTAGCCACAGCGTAAATTCATTCTTGCGGAAATATCTTTCCCCCACGAGTCAGTCTCCCCTGTCACTGATGTATTTTTGAATGAGGAATCGTGAGATCGTGTTCCTGGGTATATACGTTGGTATTATGGTTGTTTCGTAAGAGTTTTTGTTGTATCGATTTTTTCTTATGACTGACCTTGACAAACGATTAACACGCTTTGAACAAAATTTAGGAACTCCCAGAAGTTGATCATTCTCTACTTTTTATTCTAATTGGTACTTTGAAGCAGATGTGTTTGGAAATGACATCTTATTATGGTTTTGGGTTTTTATTTGTAGTTTAATCTTAAGAATCCCAATTTAGGATTTTTCGTAACTTAAAAAGAACTTATACTGCAAGAGTTGTTAAAAAAATTAGATACGATAAAATAGCGATGTACAAGCTTAATATTATGTTTGATCAAATATTGATTTTCAGCAGTATTAAGTAGTTCAAATACGAAAACCCAAATTTTTTACGCTCTTCGTAATACGAGTTCAAAATGATTATCTTGCGTTGGGTTTTACACCTTTCAGGACTAAAGATTATGTGATCTTAAAACGTGAGTAATTATGTATACACAGTATTTTGTATAGAGGTTTCTTAGAAATACCCCAATAGTTTTGTATATCACACCTTCACTGTAGTTATGGAGTTGGCGAGATACAAAAAGGAAATTCTGAATCTACGCATCTTATTACCCTTTCCATAACAATAGAAGTCTGTTTGAATGTAACGTCAATCAACCACACAGGCTTTCAAAATTGATTTTCTCGAAAAGAAAGTCTCATGGTCAGCGAGATCGCAAATTCACGTTGTTACACGAGTCTCGTGTGCATATTTCTTAGAACTTAACGACAGCTTATGTTATAAAGTATGCGTGGTGCATATTACGTGGATGTAGGTAAGCAGATAGGTGGGAGGAAAGTAATCAGCTACAAAGTGGGCGTACAGGCTCCCACGAAGGAAACCAACAAAAGGGCCTCGCCCTTCTAGAAATTCGACAATCTTTCATAGTCATGTTCTACTCGCATATCGATGGCTAACCTTTCGGTGAGCTAGTGTTATGGTTATATTGTTCAGATTTTCACATTTTTTACGAACCTAAAAAGTAAATACAGTAAAGCATTTATAACAAAAGTATTTGAGTATTCCTTAAAACAAAATAACGTTTTTATAATTGAACTAAACCTTCTTGATCAGCTAGAATGATTAACAGTAGGTTTATACGTCTTGAACTTCCTATTTTAAATCGCAGAGATTAATATGCTTTTATCAAACTGTATGTTAAATTCTGTCGAGATGAAAATGTATAAAGGCACCATGTTATGATGGTTGTATAAATAAATGCGGTCACATCCTATTTATTTATCATTGTATTTTGTTTTCGTTCTTTTATATAGTATAAATTGTGTAGATCATTTATTTGAAATGTTTTCTGTTTATTGGTTAAAAAGAAGAAGCAACTTAGAGAGTATCAAATTTATGGAAGTTGATTTCTTGCTTATAGTTTTTGTTTCTTTTGTTTTTGTACTATGTAGACTACAAATATTCCACAAAATAATTTCTATTTATGTACACAAGAATTGATTTCGTAAAATCTGCGAAGTGTGAAGACAAATTGACAGTAATAATAAGCAATTTCTGTGCAATAGTCGGTGCAAAGTACTAGAAATATAAAATTTAAATATTGCTGTTTAACTTTCTGTTTCATTCTACATGCAGCGAGAGGATGAAACACAAAAGGCAGTTAAACTGACGATGAGAGAAAGAAGATTTATAAAATTTGCATCGGTGGAATATGATGGGCAACTGTACATGACGCCGCAGGACTTTCTCGACAGTGTTATTGAACCTGAACCCAGACGTGAGTACTAAATAAATTTGCTTGTGTAGCAATAACGTCAGGTTACAGTAATAACTCGTTCTGTCTTTGATAACATACGCCCTCGTAACTCTGGTCGGCGTTGAATGCTGATCGAATAACGAAAAACGAATAAAAATTGAAAGAATTTCGATTGAAAATTTATAAACTGTTTAAATTTTAAATATTTTGAATAACATTTGTGATTAAGCATTGATGAAAGCAATAATTGCCCAATAACGGACAAGATTTAAAAAATTGTAATAAATTAACGGATAAAATTTAAAAAATTGTAATAAATTTTTTACTTGAACTATTAATAATGTATGTGCGTTACAGCGTTTGCAATAGTAGCAACGATTAAATAACGCGGAGACTAAAATGGCTAAGTGGACTGTATCTAAAAAACGTATATGACTTCGGATAGACTATAAGTTTAATTCTGATGTTTACTGGTTGCTACTTGTTTCGAAAGTGTTTTGCGAATGTTAGGCCCATCCTTCATAGCTCCTTTAGATCATCTTCGTCTAGGAAGGATGAGGACCCGGTGAGTTGGCGGGAGGACCCTGAACGTCCGATAATGCCGCGATTTTTCCTTTTAGGTACGTTTGGCGGCCATGAGTACCGTTATATCCATACGAGACCTTTTCTATAGTGACCCTTTTAGAAAAAACCGTGTTTATGATCAAGTAGTAGCCGTTGAGAACGAAACGAAAATTAACTCTAAATTTACGACAATGATATATATAAAAATAAGGACTGGAAAAACCCGAAATGTTTGGCTCAAAAACGGCCCGATCATAAATAAACTTTCAAAATCCTCTCCTGCAATATACATTTCTAAGACCTAAAAAATAATATTTGATTATACATCAATGCTGTTCAAATGACCTCAGTACGTTTCAAACACTGTTGAAGGTAAATTTTGACAAATGAAAAATTAAGTTTTGAAAATATAACATTTTAAATTAACAGAATTTTTTTATTTTAAATATAGGAAATAAAATTCGGTATGATAAAGTTTCATTCACGCCTCCCCGAACTGTTACTACTGTACTATTACGCTTGCCAATATAATGTATTTTTATCTGAATTTAAAAATATTAAACATTAGATAATTAACAGAGTTATGGATAATTATCATGTTTAAAAAAAAACAGTACAGATACTTTTTAGACGCATTAACTTCATTAAAGCATTAACACTTCAAAGAAGTTGAATTAACCCCTTGCCATATTATTCTTTATCCATTGAAATAAATGTATATATTGTATATAAGGGGGCGCATATGTGGAAAAATGTAAAAAAGATCTGTTAAGTTATTAGTTTATATGCGTCTATTCTTTCAATTGACAAATGTATAAACTACACATATTGTAAATTATTCTAATAATTTTTGCAAATGTAAATATCTCACAGTAACAAAAACTAGATTTGTTCCATTTTCAAAACAACATATTCAGTTTATGCACACGAAATTCAATTTGGTCCATTCTAAATCATCTATGGTGACTGTTTCCAGTAAAAAATTTGCCTATTTATCGAAGTAAAAACATTTTGGACCGAAAATACCCCATCGTTCTATTTTGATACATCTTATGGCATGTGCTATGCTAAAATGGTGTTCTGAACTCTAAACAAGTGATTTCATAGAAGTTTTCGGCACCCTACATGAACTGGGAATGACGATGTAGTGAAACCACGGTTCTGTGATCTGCCGACCTGCGTGAATAACATAAATAAATAAATAAATTCCGGTGATATTCCAGCGAGGCTGAAGAGACGCGTGTTAACTGACAAGGAACTGGAAGTGATGAGGAATAGCATCCCTTCGCTGCGTCAAGGAAGCACCCATATGTTCAGAAACCTTCGGGATAAAGGTGAGTAGTTAAGAAATATCACACGTTGCTTTTTTCACTTTTAAACGTCTAATGACTAGGGGAAAAATTCGTTAATGATGTGACGAATGCATTTTCCCAAGCATTGACAGGGTTGCTGTACCTAACACAGAACGCTTGCTTTTAAATATTTATTCAAAATAAAAACATGCATTGTTCTCAATGAGGGTGGCATTGAAACATGACAAAAGTAATAGATATTCATATTCATATTAATAGTTAACAATATAAAAATTAAAAAATCTTGAAATTATGGTGTAAAAATTGTCAAAAACAATGAGTCAAAAAAATGGTACTTTATAAAAAATACATAAAAGATTCATAATATCTTTAGCGATTTTTAAATTTACCTTATATGATATTTCTTTTTCTTTATACGTTGAGTACATATGTGTATGCATTAGATCGAATTTCAGCATTATTATCACTATGATGTACTTAGAATGATAAAGTATGACATCATTAAATAATATTAACAATCAACATATAATCAAAATAGAACATGTTTTATGTTACATACATTCAACATATTCTACATACCTGTATATTAAGTAGACAAGTATTCAGAAAAAATGAAAAAATTTTTGATAATGGTACCAATGGGGAGTCAGAACCTACCAGATGCATAAGGTTTCGTTCCGATCGGTCCATCCAGCTAGGCGTAATCGGTGAACATACATAGAAAAAAAAATATACTGATCGAATTAAGTAACCTCCTCCTTTTTCGAAGTCACTTAAAAAGGCAAACATGGTATTGTTTTCGAATATGATAAACACGCCACTGCGCATCTTTGCATGAAATTCGAATTTTGAAATTTTATTACAAATTACCATGATTTTCTTCGAACATATATATATCAGTTTATCATCCCCATAGAGTTAAATTCAGTATCTTTTTTTAAACGCTTCTATGTTCGTTTATGTATGTCACCCTTTCTTTATGCACGTTTCACATTTGCGAAGATAATGGAATGCTAATTGAATCGATTAAATGCAGAGTGGCGCAATTAACGCTGTACCGAATGTGCTTCCCGAGGTTTGAAGATATATTGGAGAATAGAGTAATGGGAAAGAATAAATTTTTGGGCTAAAACCACAGATCACACGATTGCTGTTTTATTTTGACTTGAGAATTCGAGATCTCAAGTACTTGGAAATTTAATTTGCATGTTTGGAAATTTTAAGGTTTAAAAATTTGGAAATCTAGAAACTTAGAAATATGTAATTTGGCAATTTGAAAATATTAAAGTCTGGAACTTTGGAAATTTATAAATCTATAAGGTTTGATAATTTGAAAGTCTTTAAGTACACTCGAGTCTACCTACTTTCACTCTACATATAGTTCTATTCATTGTATTTTCAAATTTAATATGTACTTATGTAATGTATTTAGTATTTTCTATATTAAAACATGCTCAAGTTTGTACTCATAGTGTACTCATTTTACCTTCGGTATGTTTCTACTTATTTCCTAAAAGTCGGTGAAGACAATTTAATATTGAATTCCTTCTACCTTTATCGTAACATTTATGCGTCACTCACCACAAATAAAAAAATCCAAACTTTTATCAGAAAATTAAAGGGTAGCACACATGTGCTATCATTTTGACGCACAGTGTATGATCACAGAATTTGCAACAAATTCTGTCACGCGTAATTCGAGGTTCACACCGTCACTAAAAAAGGGTGAAATTGAACGTAAAATTTTCGAGGCCTCTTAAGATTCTTAGAAGACTTCGTACGAATAGCCGTGTGATCGGTGGTGCAATTAATCCTGCCACCCCATCGATGGATAAAATAACAGGGTCCTGTCGTTAACGAGTCACCGGTGCAGCTGGTTTTAGCTTCTTCCTGGCTTTTTGTGCGTTCACCGCACGTTTGTCGCGCTAATGGAAATGCAAATAATCGCACACGCACGGAGCCAGTTTCACACTTGCCTCTAATAAACGAGCCACGTTGCTCTCTATGTTAATATCACTTTCTCTTTTTCTTGCATGCGTGTGTCCGTAAACCAGAATTTCATGAACGAACTTGATCTACCTTACCCCTTTTTAAATCTACCCTTTACCTCTTTTAATATCTAGCTCTTGCCTATTGAGTTTGTGTTAGTTAATTATGATGTAAGACAAAGTTACAGATATTATTTGAGGGAGAGGTACAAATACTTGCCAATTGAAGTATAGGATCATCTTAGAAATCTCGTTTTAGCACTAGAATTACCGCACTATTTAACTATAACTAAACATATACAATTATAACTAAAGTTTTTCAACTTTATTTTAGCCCGAAACATTTATATGTCAGGTATGGTTATGACATCATATTTCTTACATCGCCTTACTTCTTTCTTTTGACTCCATGGTTGCTGAACGTAGTAAGTCTTTTGGGGGAGCCCGATTTACATTTGTTCGTTTGTATGTTTGTTTGTCTAAACCACGTTACAGGCCGCAGTTTTCGGTCTTTCGATTTGAAATTTTGAGGGTAGACTCGTGAGATACCCTAAATCTGCTGGATTAATTTTGGCGGTACTTCGTTGACGCAAACTTGTCATCATCTACGTGATCATTATCGAATAGATAAAAAACTTTGTTTTGTTATCATTATTGGTAATTTTTGAGACGTAGAATCTACTGAAACCATGTTAAATGCTCTATCACACAATAAATTAATAGGATGAGAACCCTATCACGACCACGCCGTTTAATCGTTAGCCGCTTAGCGTCCACGTCGTTCAGCGATTGATCTTTAAATACATCACGATTTGTAGGTATGGTGTTCGATGTTTCGTTATTCTTAGTGGCAACTTTCGATTAGGACATTTTTGCTATAAATTTGCCTCAAAGTTATATTGATTTCTTACTTTTTGCAGTTTTTGCATGTTTTTGACACGACATAAAATTTTTGAAAATATGTGATCACCATATTGAATCAGTCATTTTAAATTCTTATAAACGTACTGCAGATCAGCAAACCCAATAACCCTTGGTTACCTGATTTCAAAACAGTCGTAAAAGTAATTTGTAAAGTAGTCGAACCTACCCTCAAAATTGATAAGAGTGATTTCTACCCTTCAAACGGCATTCAGGCCGATATAACAATATATGTACATGTCCAATAGTTTTCCATATGTTAATATGGTAAGTTTTAGGAAAATCGCTGTATATTACTTCCCTAGTGCTACTTGCTAGTATAAATGAAAAGAATGTTTTCAAATATATAACAAAAAGTTGTTATATATTTTTTCAATACTCCCATTTTTGGGAAGTTTCCATTTTGTGAATTAATAAAGAAATCGTTAGTAGGTGGAAAAAATAAAGGAAGCAAAAATTTTCAATTTCTATGTTATGTTACATTTTTCCCGCACTAATGTAATTAACTTTGCAACGATAACTAAATAATATGAATATTTTTTTATTTACTTAAAATCTAAATAATTTTATATCACGGTTACAGTCATTTTGACTGGTTTGTTAATAATAGCTTCGTCTTAACTATCAGTAATTTTACTGCTAATCAGAATAATGTAAAACTACGGTTCATACGAAAAATTCAGTAAGGAAAGCACATAGTCTCTTGTATTTATTATTGTTAACATGTTATCTTGTATATCGTACAGTTTTACTTGTGTCATCACTATGAAAGTTTTTTAGTAATAAGAGTATACAAGTATTTTATTTTCTTAATAATAAGATTTTATAAATGTTTTATTTTCTTCGTAAAAGATTTCACAAGTGTTTTATTTTCTCAACAATAACATAAACTACGAGATATGCGGTTTAATGAACCACGGAATGTTAGCTCCCTTAAGTAGAGTCAGGTTAATGATACAATGTTTCAAAATAGAACTTGCAATTTTTACGATTCATTTTATTCTTCGTACATTTTCATATTTTTGCAAGAAAGGGATGGTTGTAAAGATATTATTTCTTGTTGGTTTGTAAATTAATACGGCTAAGTATGAATGAAGTGTATGGAACTAGAGTCATATTACCAATATCGATTGGTTCCAACCTATTCGAAGCGTGACTAAATGAAATACTTCCTTATTGTATGAACCTTCCATAACTAGAGCGTAATAGAATGACTCATGAAATTTTATGAATAAAATTTTGCGTAAAGCTTGTACACCCACGATTTGACCATTAAGAATTCCTTTATGATCTGTTTATAGCGTAAAACAAGTTACGTTTTTATGAATGACATTACATATTCATAGACTTATAGCTGAACATAATTTGATATAAAATGAATTGTATACTCGGAACAGGAATGAAAAATAACGATAGGATTATTTTTACAGACTAATAATCATACGAACTATAACATCCATTTGTGACTGACTTAATCGAAAATTTGTTAGAATTTTCAATGTCGTTTGTGTTAAACAAATTTTCTTAAATGTTTCAAAAAATTTTCAAACTCAGTGTTTTCACAATCAAAGTCAAATATTAGTTATTTTATACATTCATAAGATTATATTTTATATATATAAATATTATATGTATACAATATATGTAATAAGTTGTATACAGGGTGTCCGCGCCAAAGTGTGACAGCGCGATATTTCATGAACTATTGAAAAGAATGTTTATATGGAAATTGCAGGGTAAAAGAAGCCCTATGTTTTGGCGGAAGTAAAACTTTTTTATCGTTATTAATGTAAAAGATATGATGGTGAAGTTTCGTTTTTTAAATGGAACTATATATTTTTTGTGGAAAGAATTGTCTATCATCATAATGGAAAGAATTGTCCGTCATCGTAATGGACAATTGTCCATCATCGAAAGAATTGTGAAAGAATTGTCCATCATCGTAATGAACAATTCTTTCCACGTTTCGTACTCTTCGGACTTACCGTTGGGACCGTAGACCCTTGGCTATCGATTTCGGTAGACAGGGTCAAACCCGCGGCACTTACCGCAACAATAAGACCGATTTTAT